CTGTGTCCCATCCATAGCCTCTCCTGAAGCTCCCTGCTCACCCTTCTGATGATGCCAGGTCCCTTCTTCTCTGCCACACTGGGCATGGTGGAGCTTTCCAGGGGATGCAGGTCCCCAGGACCTAGACAGCAGCAGTGTAGGCTCAGGTGTCCTGGTAAGCCCCCAAAACAGCAAGAACAGCAGACCCCTGACCCAGAAACCCAACCCAGACTCACTCTGTGCTGGGCTCATCAGACCCCCTGTTTTCCAGTGAGCCCTGGTCATGCCTCACGTTGCTGGAGACCTGGTGGCTGAGCAACAGGGAGAGCTGGATTCTCCTCCCACCAGGTGTGTTTGGTATAAATTACCTTGATGAGAACTTTATGGTTTCATTGGCCAATGGGTCGTGTCAGAAAGGTGGAAGGACCCTACACTGGAAGCCAGAAACAAGACTACTTCACTCCAGAGCCACAGACACTGAGGGTGTCTCCAAGGAGAAACCAGGGACCATCCAGGCAGCAGATGAAGTGGAAGAAGAAGCCTCACACCACCTTCTCCACCATCAGAAAGGTAGAGGATCAGCACTTCCAATCAGTTTTCATTAGCTCAGTGACACTTGTCCAGGGCTCTCACTGCCCAAAGAGGCTCTCTGGGATTTTGCAGGCTCCAGTAGGCTGGAACATTGGGAAGGGAAGAAAGCCACAGTATGATGTGGGTGGGAAGGGACCTCTGGAGATCATCTCATCCCCCCCCCTGCTCCAGCAGCTCCCCCACAGCAGGGTGCCCAGGGTCACAGCCAGGCAGGTTTGGGATCTCTCCAGAGCAGGAGACTCCACAGCCTCTCTGGGCAGCTGCTCCAGGCTCTGCACCCTCACCCCAAAGAAGTTTCTCCTCCTGCTCAGGTGGCACCTCCTGGGTTCCAGTTGGTGCCCGTTGCCCCTTGGCCTGTCCCTGGGCACCACTGACCAGAGTCTGGCCCCAGCCTCTTGCCCCCCGGGGCCCTTTAGCTCTTGCTCAGCACTGATCAGCTCTGTGAAGAAAGCCCTTGACTCACCTTGCAAGGTTCTGCCACACGTCCTGTCCTGAGGGGTGAGGGGATGAGCAGAGTCTCTGTGGTTAGAGCTGCATTTGCTGGGCCAGTCACCCCAAAATTTCTACTTACTACCTGATGTGCAGCCATGTGTAAATACTTAATTGCAAAAAAAGCTCATCAGAGCTGCAGGTAAACCTCTACTCGTACCATTTTTAAGCAATATGAGGCAGGTTTAAACCCAAAAGTTCTAGTTTTCTGCAGTCCTGTGCAAAATAATGCTCTGTCCCATTTCAGTTTGGACCTGGAAAACTGGGGAGCCCTCAGCATTTCAGATTCCAGTGTCTGCTGCTGGTACCAGTGGGATACAAAGAAGTATGCTCTGGAGTGCAACATCTCTTCCAATTTTACTCTTTATTTTCTTTTTCTTCCCATGTCTTTCAACATGAATTTGTCAGCTTAGGAAAAATTACAGAGTTTTCCCAACATAATAATGGTTGAAAATCTTGCCACATATATGATACTCAAAGTGAAAAAGGACCCAAATATTGTTCTGCACTATCTAGGAAGACCACACCAAAAGAGGGGGGAAAAAAGGGGGAAAGAACAGGACTGATACAATTCCACATCTGAAAAGAAAAGCTGGAAACATATAAGATGAAAGCAAAGAAGAGATTTCTGCTGAGAGCCAGCCAGCTTTGCTCGTGGGAAGGGCTCACTCCTGGGCTGCACAGTTTGCTTCTGGGGTTGCTTTCTGAAGGGCTTCATCAGGCTGAACTACGTGGAGGTTTTTGAAAGCCAGGAGAAGGCTCTTTCCAAATATTTTTCTGCACTATCTAGGAGGACCACACCAAAAGAGGGGGGAAAAAAAAGGGGAAAGAACAGGACTGATATAATTCCAGGTCTGAAAAGAAAAGCTGGAAGCATATAAGATGAAAGCAAAGAAGAGATTTCTGCTGAGAGCCAGCCAGCTTTGCTCGTGGGAAGGGCTCACTCCTGGGCTGCACAGTTTGCTTCTGGGGTTGCTTTCTGAAGGGCTTCATCAGGCTGAACTACGTGGAGGTTTTTGAAAGCCAGGAGAAGGCTCTTTAGTCTTTAGCCACACAATATTGTCTTATCATTTGTGTTCTCAGATAAGCAAATGCAAACCACTCGCAGGGCTCAGGCTGGGTTAGCTGGTGGACCACAAGGATTTGCCTCTTTGTGCCCACCAGGACAGTTGCACAAGTTGTCCCCTCCTTAATGTCTCCACTAGAAGCAGAGTCTGGTGTGAAGCACCTGCAGCCAACAGCCAGAGAGACAGGAGGGGTTGGGCATGTGGTTGGTTTTGTTTGACTCAGCTGCAGGCTCAGGCCCCAGGATTCCCATTCCAACAAGTTCTGCAGCAGGATCTACCTTTAGAGAGAGCTGCTGCTGGCTTGGGTTGTCTCCAGACCCTCATCCCACCCCCCCCAGGCTTCCCATCTCTGCTGAGATCTGTGCAAGCACCAGGACAGTGGTGTAAGGGTTACCAAAACCTGCCTCTGCTGGCCTGGCTAGTACCAGCACTAGTGTGGCCATCAGGACCAGGGCAAGGATTGTACCCCTGGACTGGGCACTGGGGAGGCTGCACCTCAAATCTTGGGGTCAGTTTTGGGCCCCTCACTCCCAGAAGGACCTTGAGGGGCTGGAGCGTGGCCAGAGAAGGGCAACGGAGCTGCTGGGGAAGGGTCTAGAGCCCAAGTGTGGGGAGGAGCAGCTGAGGGAGCTGGGGGTGCTGAGCCTGGAGCAAAGGAGGCTCAGGGGAGACCTTCTGGCTCTGCACAGCTCCTGACAGGAGCCTGGAGCCAGGGGGGGGTCGGGCTCTGCTCCCAGGGAACAAGGGACGGGACAAGAGGAAACGGCCTCAAGTTGGGGAGGTTGAGGTTGGAGCTGAAGAAAATTGCAACCAAAACAATTCTAGGATTCTGTGAGCCTCTGGACAGCCAGGAGGGAGGGAAGCAGCCCTGGCCAGGTATTTGAGTCCAAGTTGTCTCACAAGAGCTGCCAGAAGTGTCTGTCAGAGTGACCAACACAGTTTTACTCCCTTCAGGGCAATGCCAGCCACAGAGGAGCGATTTTGACCTCACTGCTGCCTTTGGCCCCAGTTTTAAAGAGAGAAGAAACAACTTGGAGCAGAGCCTGGAGACAGACACGGAGCTGCACTGAAGCACAGCTGTGACAGCAGTGCCACCAGCACAGCCAGGGCCACAGTCCCCTCCTGTCCCCCCACAGACCCCCCACGTCCCACCTTTAAAGGAGCCATTTCGGGCTGAAGCCAGGATTTGGTTGGAAGTGGGTGCAGCTGGGTTTCCCAGCCTGCTTCCCTGGGGATAAAACAGGTTCCTGCACAGGGGGATGCCAAGAGATCCCAAACTTTCCTTCTGCCCATTGCCCCTGGCAAAGCCTCCCTGTGCCAGTAGCTCCACGTCCATGCAGAGGAGACTGCACCAGATGTGCTTGCTTGGAAAGAGGGGAGATTAATAAAGCCAAAACCAGCTAATTTGGATGATGAGTCCTTAAACACTCAGGTCTTCACTGATAGCTGCAGGTTTGGAGCAGAAGGGCCCCGTGCTGTGAACATTTTGGGTTGGGTGTTCCTTAGAAGCTGCTTTTTGTCCAAGTTCTCCAACTTTTACTAACTTTTTATGACCAAGCTCCGTGCCCTGTAGGGCAGGTGGGATGCACCAGGTAATTCAAACTGTGCTCCTCTTGGTGGCTGAGATTTGCAGACAAATTTAGTGGATTTGGATGCCCAAGTTCCATATGAGAATTTTCTTTGGGGGATTGTAATTCCCACTGGGATGGGGGCAGTGTAACTGCCTGAGGCTGACTGCTGTGGTCACATCCTGCTTGGAGGTGGTGGTGCTTGCTAGGGAGGCCTGGCAGAAGGGCTTGTGGCAGACGTGGGGCTGTCAGTGTGATGCTCCCAAAGTCTTCTCCCTATTTTCTGTTTGATAAACCATTCTGAAAGTTTTTGAGTGGGTGGAAAACACTTAAAATGGGACATTTCCTGGCAAATACCTGCCCTGAAACCGGCGTTGAAGCCGAGAGAGGGATGCTGCTGGTGAGGGGCAAGGGGAACAGTGGCTGGGGAAAGTGGTGGCTGGGCAAACTGGTGGCTGGGCTGTAAAAGCTGTAAAAAAAAACCCAGTAAAGCTGCCCAGTCCCCCCAGCTCAGGCTGGGCTTTGATGGCAGCCCCGGCACCGTGGTGCTGCTCCTGAGCTGTCAGGAAAGCTTTTGTCCTGAGCTTCTCCAGCAGCTCAGCCCTGGGCAGGGAGACCACAGCAGCAGCACTGGAAACCAAACAAGCCCATTTCCCCGAGGGAAAGAAAAAAAAACAAGAAAAACCACCCCCAAACCCCCAAATTCCCCCCAAAGCAGCCGTGCTGTCGTGCGAGAGGAGCCCGGGTGCCGCTCACAGCTTCGGAGCCCCCCGGGGCCCATCCAGGCTGGTTACCTAAAGGGACAAGCTGTGGTTAGTGGAGTCAGGGTGGCTGGTCCAACAGGGGCCAGTAGCCTCGGGGGGGTTTGATCCTGAAGGGCTTTTTCATAGCTGAGGATTTGTGTGGCTGCCTGCAGCGTGAAATCTGCCCGTGCAGGTTCCTTCAGCAGCTGCACCTTAACTTGGGAGCAGGTTTGAGGCAGGTAGAACTTAAAAGGTGTTTGGGAGATGAATTAAGTGCCTTTAATCCTTGAGAGTTTAGAGTCCAAACGCTTCCCAGGGTCTTGGTGGATGTGTCTGATGCCTGCCAGGGCAGCATGCAGCAGGGAAATGCTGCGTGGGCATTGGGAAGCAGCACTAAGCTGGTTCGTAGCTTCTGTCATGTGTCACTGAATAAATAACACCAGGGGGACAAAACCCAGCTACTTTTCATGGGGGGTACCCCAGATTTGGCACTTTTAGCATCATGAGGGAGGTCCCGTGGGGTTTCCCTGCTCTGCCCTCTGCCCTTTGAATCCCCCAGCACCTCACCTCCTGGCCACGGCGATCTTGGGCAGACCAGGCACCAGGGTCTGGAGGAACTTCTGGAACTCTTTTACCGTGGAGCTGATTCCTTCCAGCAGCCCCCACAGCTTCTTCAGCCTGCAAAACCAAAACAGCCAGGCAGATTTTAATGAACAGTCAATGCAGCAGAAGGGAGAGAGTGTTAATGGTGAATCATAGAACCACAGAGTGGTTTGGGTGGGCAGGGACCTTTAGAGGTTCATCCAGTCCAACCCCCTGCCCTGAGCAGGGACATCCCCAGCTAGAGCAGGGTGCTCAGAGCCCCGGCCAACCTCCCCTGGGATGGTTCCAGGGATGGGGCAGTGACCACCTCTCTGGGCAGCCTGGGCCAGGGGCTCACCCCCCTCAGTGTAGAACATTTCTTCCTTCTCTCCAGTCTAAATCTCCCTCTTGTAGTTTCAAACCATTCCCCTTGTCCTGCCCCAACAGCCCCTGCTAAAACTCTGTCCCCAGCTTTCTGCCAGGCCCCTTGGAGTCCTGGCAGCCCCCAGAAGGTCTCCCTGGAGCCTTCTCCTCTCAGGCTGCCCCAGCCCACCTCTCCCAGCCTGGTCTCCCAGCAGAGGGTTCCCCCCTTGGACCATCACTGGGGCTCCTCTGGCCCCACACACTGCAATACTCTCCTCATAACCAAACAATCCCCTGGTGCTCCTGGCGTCCACACTCACACTCCCTGTTGCTTTCAGGGCCCACCAAACCCTCCTGCAGAGGGAGGGGGTGCTGCTCAGCCTGTTTGTGCAGCACCTTGATCTGGTGCATAGAAAAGGAGGGACCTGCCCCCAGCCCACACCGTCCACGTGTGTCCCATGGAGCTGCCACCTGAGGGGTGCCACAGCCCTTGGCTCTGCTGGGGCCAGATGCTGGTTCCTGCACCACTCTTGGGCACAGAACTGCTGTCAGGGTGCTCTTACCCCTTCCTGAGGAAAGCTGGGAGCCTGTAGGGCTGCAGCAGGACCTTTGACAGTGGATCCTGCAGTCCAGTCAGCTGCTCCTTCCTCCACAGAGACAAGCCTGTGCCCGTGGATGACCACACAGAAGTAAAGACAGACCAGTCGTTAGAAATAACCCCAAAAATGCAATAATTGATCTTGGCCAGCCCCTCTTCCTGCAGCTCAGTCTGTAGGTCCTGAGGCCCAGGCCAGAGTCCAGCTTGAGTTGCTCCTACAAAGACTCCTTGTGACTGGCTACTGCAGATCTAGAAGTATTTACTGTAATAGAATCCCAGCCTGGTTTGGGGGGGAAGGGACTTTAAATGTCATCCAGTCCAACCCCCTGCCCTGAGCAGGGACATCCCCAGCTAGAGCAGGGTGCTCAGAGCCCCGACACACCTC